TGCTCAAGCAGAAGGTCCTTACAGAATTACAGAATAACAGGAGTTGGAAGGGACCTTGGAGGTCTTCTAGTCCAGCCCCCTGCTCAAGCAGGAGACTGGAGGACGCCGACAGAATGGTCTCGGTTCAAATCCAAGGCAAAGCATTGAACATCACAATAATCCAACCATATGTGCCAACCGTTCTTATTGCAAAATTCAGGCTTAAAATTGAAAAGTTGGGAAAACCAGGCCATTCAGGTATGATTTAAATCGTATCCCCTATGGATATACAGTGGAGGTGATGAATAGATTTAAGGAATTATATCTGGTAGACATAGTGCCTGAAGAGCAATGGATGGAGGTTTGTAATATTGTACAGGAGCCGCAACTGAAGAAAAAGAAATGCAAGAAAGTGAAGTGGCTGTTTGACGAGGCTTTACAAATAGCTGAATGAGGAAAGCAGAAGAGGGGGAAAAATATGCCCAACTGAATGCAGATTTCCAGAGAATAGTAAGGAGAAATAAGGCCTTAAATGGCAATGCAAAGAAATGAAGGAAAATAATAGATTGGGAAAGACTAGATATCTCTTTTTAAAAAAAACTGGACACACCAAGGAAACATTTCGTGCAAAGATGGACATGATGAAGGACAAAAATGGTAGGAACCTAAAAGATTAAGAAGAGGTGGCAAGAATACAAGAACTATATGGTAATGATCTTAACGTTCTTGATAACCACAGTGGTGTGATCACTGATCTCAAGCCAGATATCCTGGAGTGTGAAGCCAATTGAACCTTAGGAAGCATTACCAACAACAGAGCTAGCGGAGGTGATGGTATTCCAGCTGAGCTATTTAAAATCCTATAAGATGATGCTGTTAAAAGTGCTGCATTCAATATGTCAGCAAATTTGGAAAACAACAATGATCACAGGATTGGAAAAGAGCAATTTACAATCCCCCAAAAGGCAAAGCCAAAGAATGACCAAACTACTGTACAATTGTGCTGATTTCACATGCTATCAAGGTTGTACTCAAAATCCTACCATTTAGGCTTCAGTAGTATGTGAACTGAGAATTACCAGAAGTACAAGCTGGGTTTCCAAGAGTGGGAACTAGAAATTAAAGTGACAACATTTGCTGGATTATGGAGAAAGCAAGGAAGCTCCAGAAAAACATCTATTCTGCTTCATTGACTATGCTAAAGCTTTGGATTATGTGGATCGCAAACAAATTGTGGCAAATTCTTAAAGGGATGGGAATACCAAATTACCTTATCTGTCTCCTGAAAAACCTGTATGCCGGTCAAGAAACAACAGTTACAATTGGATGTGGAAAGGAGTACGATAAGGCTCTTATATTGTCACCTTTCTTATTTAACTTATACTTAGAGTAACATGTGAAATGCCAAGCTGGATGAATTATAAACCGGAATTAGGATTGCCAGGAGAAATATCAACAACCTATGCGGATTATAGCATTTTAATGGTAGAAAAGGAAGAACTAAAGAGCCTCTTAATGATGAAAAGGGAGAGTGCAAAAGTTGGCTTGAAACTCAACATTTAAAAAAAAACCTAAGGTGGCATTTGGTCTCATCACTTACTTTAGCCTTTATTGTCATTGTATATCATGTATACAACGAAATTGGTTAATTTCATTGTATACATGATGTACAATGACAATAAAGGCTATACTAAAATTTCCTGGCAAATAGAAGGGAAAGAAATGGAAGCATTGACAGATTTTATTTTCTTGTGCTCTAAGATCACTGCAGACAGCAACTGTAGCCATTAAATTAAAAGAGGCTTGTTCCTTGGGAGGAAAGCTATGGCAAACCTAGATAGCATATTAAAAAGCAGGGACATCACCTTGCCAACAAAGATCAATATAGTCAAAGCTATTGTTTTCCCAGTAGTAATGTATGACCATGAGAGTTGGACCATAGGGAAGGTTAAGTGCCAAAGAATTGATCTGAAGTGTGTTTGAGAAGGGTCTTGAGGATCCCTTGGACTGCAAGGAGAACAAATCAATCAATCCGAAAGTAATTCAACCCTGATTGTTTTTTGGAAGGACAGATACTGAAATTGAAGCTCAAATACTTTGGCCATTAAATAAGAAGAGAGGAGACTCATTGGAAAAGATCCTGATGTTGAAAAAGATTGAAGGCAAAAGGAGAAGGGATGGCAGAGGAGGAGATGGTTAGATAGTGCCATGAATGAACATGAATTTGAGCAAACGCCAGGAGACAGTGGAGGACAAGATAATTGCCATGCTATGGTCCATGGGGTTGCAAAAGTTGGACACGACTTGGCGACTAAACAACAACTCTGGAGGAGCAACTGTCCAGAGTAGAAGTGGGCAATCTCGTGATATCTCCTATTTCTAGAGAGAATTGCTAGCCAGAATTCACCTATGTCCACTGCAATGCCGTCTCCACTCATCTGGGGATATCCAGTTTGCTTGAAGCCTCACCAGAAGCTCAATCCTTACTGGAAGTTGTGATCATTTATGCAAATGTATTTGAATTATTAACAAGGATCACAGACTAAGGAACAGCCTGTTAACAGACCTGGTCTTTGAAAGATGTAATGTGCTCCTATTCTGAGACCATGCCTTGATTCAGCCATCTTAAACAACGATCAATTAAGCTCCAACTTTTTCTGTAGAAAAGTGCTATAGAAGCTTAATGTTGAGAAATATTTGTCTTCTCTGGAAACTTATTTTAACTCTTTTGTTCTTTTTATATTGCCCAAAATAGGTAGCTCTTCTTTTTGAATCCATTTTTATGTTATATAATGTAATTTCTCATGAAAGCTTTGCTTGCATCCCAAACCATTCTTACATCTGTACCTTTAAGATTCTTTTTTTAAAAAAAACACTCCCAAAAGTCCCATCTCATATTTCATTTCTTGTGTGTATTTTCTTTGTGGTTTCTAAAAACAAATGTTTGCACACCCTAATATGTTTGATTATTGTAGTTCCTTGCCTACTCACTGCCACATTAATAAAATTGGACTCGCTTATATTTCAAATAGACTAAAATTCATTGAGAAAACAACAATTTTCTTATTTTTGCAACAGAAGCAAGGAAAGCAACATTGTTTCAATATATTCACTTTGTCAAAGTTAATTATGTATTTCAGTAATGTTATTAGTTTGATTTGGAAACTTTTTTCAGTACATAAATGTTGTACAAAGACAAATTGATTATAACATATACAGATGATGTATCCTAATCACAAGTAGCCAATAGTAAACAGTTGTCTAAATTGTACACAAGTCATGCATTTGTTTAAAAGAACCTGCCAGCATGAAAACATGAAAATACAAATGAAAGGGTTTCCCCCTTTTTTTTTTTGCAAATCATTTATTTCAAATTAAGATCGCCATTTTTTATTTTAGCTTTGAAAAACCGATGTATTCAACATTTAAAATATTTTCTTCCCTCTAGCTTGCCAAGTTAAGGAACACATTTCTGGCAAAATGTTCTACATGCAGCTGCTTATGAATAAGCGTGGGCCTTTGTCCAAGATATGGCTGGCTGCTCACTGGGATAAGAAAGTCACAAAGGCTCATATATTTGAATGCAATTTAGAAGCTACCATTGAAAAAATACTGTCCCCTAAGGTATGTCTCTCATAATATGTCACCAAAAATAATGTTTCCTGTTTTTACTCGGCACTGGGTGTGGCATTGTAAATTAAGTTCTGCAGGAAGACCTTGAAGATCTGGATAGGTTTAGTCTTGCAAAAATAAAACCCCAAAACTGAAAAGGGTTGTTACACCAAAGAAAGTCAAGAACTCTATCATCTCAGTATGTAAGATATAGAATAATGTTGTTAACTTGCAGGAAGGCAGATTCTAGCTTAAAATCAAGAAACAGTTCCTAACCTTAGGAGCAGTTCAATAGTAGAACCAATTATCCGGAGTGATGGTGAACATATTTTCACTAGATACATATCCACACCAGACAGCCAACTGTTAGGGATGTGTAAATTGAGTTCCTGTATTAAATAAGGGACGCAGTGCCTCAGTGGCTAAGATACTGAGCTTGTCAATCAGAAAAGTCGGCAATTTGACAGTTCCAATCCCTAGTGCCATGTAACGGAGTGAGCTCCCATTACTTGTCCCAGCTTCTGCCAACCTAGCAGTTCGAAAACATGTGAAAGTGCAAGTAGAAAAAATAGAAACCACCTTTGGTGGGAAGGTAACAGCGTTACCTGTGACTTTGGCATTTAGTCATGCCGGCCACATTACCACAGAGATGTCTTTGGACAGCGCTGGCTCTTCAGCTTTGAAATGGAGATGAGCACCGCCCCCTAGAGCCGGGAATGATTAGCACATTTGTGTGAGGGGAATCTTTACTAAACAAGAGCTTGGACTCATTGGTCCAAATCAGTTCTTAACCTTTTTGAAAGAATCCCCCCCTTGAGCCATTGAGGACGTTATCATCACCCCCCTCCCCCAACATAACCTCTCAATCACAACACAGGGAAATAATTCTTCAATTTATACAAACACACTTTTTGTTTTCTTTAAAATTGTCATCAGGACATATCGATGCAAATAATTTATTTCAAGTCTTTTNTTTTTGTTTTCTTTAAAATTGTCATCAGGACATATCGATGCAAATAATTTATTTCAAGTCTTTTCCCCATATCTCAACGGTGTGAAAAATTCTGATGCCACCCATCACTTTACTCCCAAACTTTGTGATACATGTATTTCATTATTATCTTATTTATTCAAGACGCTTAATTGCAATGACCACTGAAAACAAAAATCAATTGCAAGAAAACGAAATGCCCGTTTTTGAAATGAAAGGCACCAACTGCAAATTAAATTTTCGACTGCACTGGAACACTATAAAACACACATGGACGTCGATAAACCTAGTTGCAACAGTTACATTGACATTACAGCTGACCTCACAGGGGACAGCCACTCAGCATGGGATGTTTCAAAAGGAGCGCTCGCCCCTCCATCACTGCCCATTCTGGCCAATGGCGCACCACTGTGTGGGTAGAGTGATAGAGGCCGCTGCACAACATGCACGAAGATGAGCGATGCGTATTCACATATGTACGGCGTTCTGTACTGAAGCTAGCTAGAGGAACATTTTAAAACAGTTCAATCCACTAATAGCGAGCGATCTGATGTTTTTGTATGAGATATACAGCGGTTCACTGTATGAAAAAGGTCTCAAAAGTGTCCCCAAAACTTCTCGCTCCATCACCCCCATATCGCTCCCCTTCTGTTCCTTCACACAGACACACACACACACGTTGCCCCTTTTCGTTCCATTGCCCCCTGAAAAATGAAATCGCCCCCTGGGAGGCGATATCACCCAGGTTAAGAACCACTGGTCTAAATTACCCCTTTCAACTTCTGCAAATGAAGCCATTTTTAATTATTTAATTTTCATCCTGCCTTTATTACTTTATAAGTAATTCAAGACAGCAAACATTCCTAATACTCCTATTTTCCCCACAACAGCAACAAACCTGTGGACTGAGAGAGAATAATTCGTCTAAGGTCACCCATCTGGCTTTCACGCCTAAGGCGGGACTAGGACTCCCAGTCTCCTGGTGAATGGCCCAAAGTCATTCAGTCGGTTTTCATGCCTAAGCACGACAAGATTAACCCAATATTTACTGAAAGTGGTGCCCTCTCTTTCCATTTGGATACCATTAGCTACTCTCTGGGACTGGTTTTAAGAAAAGTGAGAGCCAGCAAAATTACTCTTAATTCTATTGCGATCTTTCCCATAAATAATACCAACTTTTGCCTCCCAGTTTAAAATTGCTCTTCGTACCTCGGGACACCTTTTGCTAGGAGTGGTGAGGATCTATCACAGAAAGACCAAGTATCTTTTGACAGACTGCAGTGAAGCCCTACTTAAAATGCAATCAACTTTTCAACCAGGTATGTTTTTCCTCCTACTTATTATTAACAAGCAGCTTATTAAAGGTAGCATAAAGAAAGTGCTTTAATTTTCAAAAACAAAAGACTGGTTCACAGGGATTCAGAATTCATGACATGATACTTGGAAGACAATCTTAAGATCAGAATCAGAATAAAGCTGGAAGGAACCCTGGAGGTCTTCTAGTCCAACTCCCTGCTCAAGTAGGAGACCCTATATTATTTCAGACAAGTAGTGGATCATAAACTATTTCATGTAGAGATTGCAATTCTAAAAACAAAACTAGAAGTAAATTCCAAAGACTACAATGTGGCTTATTTCTGAATAGTCATGTCTAGAATTGCCCTAGCAGCAGAATATTTTTGTAATTCTAATGGTATCATTCAATTGACAAATCAGGTAATATTTTCTGCCATATAATTAATGACCACTAGGTAAAAAAAAATTAAAAATGTGAGTACATTTGCTAGATGCCCTCAAACACTTGTCCATTTTTATATTGCAGGATATATAAAGCTACATCATCTCACAGTTAATCTTACGTTATGTATTTTTCTTTAGGGCTGGTTGACCTTCCAAAAGGAAATTCTGAGGCAAATTATGATGCCATCACACTGCCTGAAGAATTTTATGATTTTGACAGTCAACTTCCAGACACGAAGTAAATATTTTCCAACAGTTGTTTATTGCTAAATATAGAACAAGTGAAAAGGGAGTCGATTCCCTCTGAAGTCCCATTTCTCAGGGAGGTTGAATCACTCAAAACTTTACAATAGAAAACATGCGTGCTTCTACACAATTACATGTGAAGGAACAAAACCACAATCCTCTTTCTCTGCCACAGGTAGTCCTTGACTTATAACCGTTCATTTAGTCACCACTCAAAAGTTAACAACGGCATTGAAAAAAGTGACATGACTGTTTTTCACAATTTTGATCATTGCAGCATGTGATTGCATTGTCATGTGATTAGATACTTAACATACTTAATGACGGTTGCAGTGTCCTGGGGTCATGCGTTCGCCTTTTGCCATCTTCTGACAAGCAAAGTCAATGGGGAAGCCAGATTCACTTAACAACTGTGTTACTAACAACTACTGCAGTGATTCAATTAACAACTGTGGCAAGAAAGTTTGTAAAATAGGGCAAAATGCATTGAACAAGAAAAATTTGGGGCTCAGTTGTGATCATATGCACACTACCTGTACTGCCCTACAGTTCCTTCCCCCTTATAAATTTATGATGACAAATTTGAACAACTGTGTCTCCTTGCCTGGCAAATCCACAGTTCTATATATCTATACTTTATCACTTTAATACGGCTTTTCTCAGTGCCACTTAGTATTCTGCTCTCATTTCCCTTCCTCTCAGCCTCCTGAAATATCAAACAACTCTATTTTCTAAATAGATATTTAGAAATAAATATGTAATATCTAATAACTGGATTGTAAGGGATCAGTTCTCTGTTTTCAGTCCACTTATCCAGGCTAGATTTACTGTAGTTCTGAAGAGCACAGAGCAATATTTTCTAAAAAAAATTCTTCATGGGGATTAATTGCACTTTTTAAAACTTTTTTGACAGTCCAGATTAATGTTTTTATAATAATGATAGACTGATACAATACAGGTGGTCCTTGACTTACACCAGTTCATTTAGTGACCATTTGAAGTTACAACAGCACTGAAAAAAAGTGGCATGACTGTTTTTCACACTTACAACCGTTGTAGCATCCCCATGGTCATGTGATCAAAATTTAGACACTTGGTAACTGGCATGTACCTATGAAGGTTGCTCTGACATGTGATCCCCTTTTGCAACCTTCTGACAAGACAAGCCATATTCACTTAACAACCCTGTTACTAACGTAACCAGTGATTGACTTAACATTCTCTTAACAACTATGGCTAGAAAAGTTGTTAAATGGGGCAAAACTACCTTAACAAATGTCTCACTTAGCAACAGAAATGTTGGGCTCAATTATGGTCATAAGTCAAGGACTATCTGTACATTGTTAGTTTATAATTCTTGAACTGTATTTTTGGGATGAAGATAGATGAATGAAGTAACTGAAGCAGCCCTTGTTGCTAAATCTGTGCTCTTAACCATTTCTTAATCCCATTATGGAGTAGTAAGCGAAAGGCGAGGGAAGTACAATTTAACTAGGACCAAATATATTAAAATATTATATGGATATGTTTTTTTGAATTAGGAAGTTGCGGTCCAGTTACATAGCATTTCCTAAAATTCTTCCTTCCTTCGGTTTATTTTCTTCTTTTGTAATAGTGCCATTGAGGTTACGGAATATTTTACATTGCATCAGAGCAAAACTGAGGATATCACATTGACAGAATTTTATGGGCAGAATGTTCTCAACAGTGGCAATTTTGGTGAGGTTGCATCTTTTTTCTCTCATAAATCAAAATACAAAAGGTTTTAATTTTATTTTCAAAAGTTGCGTTCTGGGTTCAATTTTTTAAAAGCTGCAAAGCATTTTATACGTCCGAGATATATAAACATAGCTGAGTTATTCATATATGTTTCTCACAGATGAAGAAATTGAAATTCCAAGGCACGCTAGCTTTTTCAGTGACAGTTTCATAAATAGCTCCAATAGCCTCTTGGCTGATCACAGTTCTTCGAATTTAACTGGAGACAAAATTGCATTAGAGTATGATGGATTTGGAGATGAAGGAGCTGGAAGAGATATGATTGGTAGGTATGAACAAAATCCAGTCTAACTATAGCCCACCAATAGATTTTCTAAGATGTGCATAAGTTGCCCACTAAGTTTAGTGACTTTGGTCTCGACTTACGACCACAACTGAGCCCCACATTTCTGTTGCTAAGCAAGGCAGTTGGTAAATGAGTTGTGCTCCATTTTATGTCCTTTTGCCATGGTTGTTAAGCGAATCACTGCAGATGTTAAGTGAGTCATGTGGTCGTTAAGCGAATCTGGCTTGCCCCATTGACTTCGCTTGTCAGAAGTTAGCTGGGAAGGTCGCAAATGTTGATCATATAACCTGGGATAGTGCAATTGTCATAAATACATGCCAGTTGCCAAGTCAAGTGCCGGAATTTTGCTCACGTGACCATGGGAATGCTGCCCCAGTCATACAGTAAAAGTGTGAGAACTGGTCATAAATTGCTTTTTTTCAGTGCCATTGTAACTTCAAACAGTCACTAAACGAATGGTTGTAAGTTGAGGACTACCTGTATAAAATATGTAGCTATGTACATAAAAATAGGGTGTTTTTAAAAAAAATTATATACTATAATTATTTTCTTAAGATGATGTTCTTGGAAATGACCAGAGTGGCCTCCTTGCAATATTTGACATGGAAGAGGAACTTCCTTTACCGCACAAAGATTCAACTGATAACAGAAAAGGTGAGTTTGTAGCTTGTTGTTGTTAGTTGTGTCTGACCCACCGTGACCCCATGGACCATGTTCCTCCAGGCCTTTCTGTCCTCTACCATCCTCTGGAGTCCATTGAAGCTCACGGCAACTGCTTCGGTGACTCCATCCAGCCGTCCCCTTCTTCTTCTTCTGCCCTCCATCGTTCCCAGCATGAGGCTCTTCTCCAGGGAGTCCTTCTCATTAGGTGGCCAAAGTCTTTGAGTTTCCTCTTCAGGATCTGGCCTTCTAAAGAACAGCCAGGGTGGATCTCCTCTAGGACTGACCAGTTGATCTCCTCTAGGACTGACCAGTTGATCTCCTCTAGGACTGACCAGTTGGATGGCCTTGCAGTCCA